AAAGAGCTTTATTGTTTTTAATTAGTTTTTATAATTAAAAATATCACAATCCAAAACAAATAAACTGTTTTTACCTAAGATCAAGTGTCAAATTTGAGAGATTAATGCAATTTGCTAAAGCAGAACCTAAGTCTGATGCACCTTCATCACCAATTTAATTTTCACTTTTTAAATATTGAAGAAAAAATATATCATTAAATAGTTAATTAAAAGGAAAAAATGAAGAAAAAATATGAAATAATAAGAAATAAATAATAAAAGCAAAAGTTGAAAATAAAATGATGAGCTAAATTAACAAAGAAAGAACAAAAAAAAGCAAGCACAATAAAAAAAAAAGAAAAAAGAGCTTTATTGTTTTTAATTAGTTTTTATAATTAAAATTATCACAATCCAAAACAAATAAACTGTTTTTACCGAAGATCAAGTGTCAAATTTGAGAGATTAATGCAATTTGCTAAAGCAGAACCTAAGCCTGATGCACCTTCATCACCAATTTAATTGTAACTTTTTAAATATTGAAGAAAAAATATATCATTAAATAGTTAATTAGAAGGAAAAAATGAAGAAAAAATATGAAATAATAAGAAATAAATAATAAAAGCAAAAGTTGAAAATAAGATGATGAGCTAAATTAATAAAGAAAGAATAAAAAAAAAGTAAGCACAATAAAAAGAAAAAGAAAAAGAAAAAAGAGCTTTATTGTTTTTAATTAGTTTTTATAATTAAAAATATCACAATCCAAAACAAATAAACTGTTTTTACCTAAGATCAAGTGTTAAATTTGAGAGATTAATGCAATTTGCTAAAGCAGAACCTAAGCCTGATGCATCTTCATCACCCATTTAATTTTCTCTTTATTGAAATTTAAATATTTAAAAAATATTAATAATAATAAAATTAATTAATAAAATATACTAGAGATCAATATGGAGAACCTAATGAGATAAAAGTGAAGAGCTTTTAAACTTTTTTTATTGATTTATATAAATTTAAAGGATATTAATAAAAAAATTAATAATTACTTCTTCTAAATTATTATATTTTTTAATCTATTATATCATTTATTTTTTTTCAAAAATATTGAATAGCAATTTATGAAATTTAATTAATTAATA